CCTGCATTTCACGTGAAGTGTATAGGCAGGGATGTCTCTGCTATCGTTTGGGTTATATCAGCACCTTGTTTTGATATTAACCCATTACTACTGTTAATCTCTACCAGCAGACAGGGGATCTCCCTCTTCCCTTTGCGGAGCACTCCCAGTTTACACTCTCCCTCCGGCCTTCTCACTGGACAGGAGGGCTAAATGAACATGTCCAACACTCTCCTCCGTCGATGATTGACAAGGGATTTAGAACGCCGGGCAGAGAGCGTAGCTCGCCTCTTCCCGGCCAACCAGCTCACAATTACGTACCAGAATCGCGGGAAGTTTGAATTTTTCTCTCTCTCTTCCCCAGTCTACTTTCGAAGATTTCCTATCCTGTCCACTGCCCCGTGGGGTTCAATGGCCGTGTGATGAGGAGAAGGAGGAATGAGGAATCAGGATGCTTGACCTAGCCCTCCGCGATTTGTCATAGCCAGACCAGTTCATCTACGGCCCGGCGACGATGGGGACGCTGCGGACGAGAGCAGCTAGTTGGAGAAACGGATATATAAACGGGCTGTTGAGACGGCTGGAGATGGAGTCTCCCATTGTCGATCTGTCTGTCTACCAAGCTGTATCTGCCTATTGTATGCAACATCAACATCAGCAACTTCAATAACTTCAACATCACCATTTTCCACATCACCAACTCTTAGCTATTGTATCACTGTCATGGGTAGCATCGAGCCTCCACGTTCTCGCTATGAGCGAACCCCCTTTGGACATGAAATGCTCAAGCACTTCTCCATTGACCCAACATACACCGAGCTCAACAATGGTACTGTCCCGTAGCCAGTTAATCAAGAAAGAAGACAAAAAAAACCAAAGATGTATGAATGTATAGGACTAACATTGGATAGGCTCCTTTGGCACCGTGCCCACAGCCATCCTGAACAAGGCCCACGAGCTGCGTAGACGCTGCGAGGGCCGACCCTGCTCGTTCTCCAGATACGAGTTCCCAGCATGGCTGGACAAGTCGCGCGAGGCCGTGGCTGACCTGCTCAACGGTGACCCAGACAACATCGTGCTGGTGGCCAACGGCTCCACGGCCTCCAACACCATCATGCGCAACTTTGCCTGGAACGAAGACGGCTTGGACGAGATCATCCAGGTCAGCATCATTTTTGCGCCCCTGGGAAAGATGACTGGCTATGTCGGTGAGCTGAGC